AACACCCCGAGTAACCGATTGTAACCGATCATCGGTTACTTGGGTCCAACCGATGATCGATTACGAAATTACAACCGATTGACAACACTAGTTACCGGTTACTTTAGTCTTTAGTTTAGCCTTTACTGCTTTAGGTGTCATTGCGACTCACAGTCACAGGCAGTGCTGCTATTACTGAGTATTACTATTACTACTACTAGTATTAGTTACTATTTAGTATTACTAATAGTAATACTATTATTACTATCACTATTAGTATTAGTATTACTATTACTATTTAGTATTAGTAACTATTACTAGTATTAGTATTGCTAAACTTGACAAGCCAATTGGAAATTTTGCATTCTATAGGACTACGAGATAAAACACGAAACAAGATACTAAAATTGCGCTCACGTATTTTTTTTTAGGCCGTCAACTCAACGTTCTCATAACAATGACTTCAAACTCGGTTATTCTTTCACGTTTCGATTTCTGTCCGGCGACCGCGTGTACAGATTACGGTGACGCATGGGTGACGTAAACGAATATTGACGTTCAAACAAGTGCAGTACTTGCAGGTTTGATTACTGGCTACACCAACATTATTTCACATCTGCTGAAATTTCGTTGCTATGCACTGAATTTTATTAGGTTGTATTTATGATATAACTCAACATAGCATGTACAACAGCAAATAATTTTAAGTAAGCGTACATGCAAATATTGACAAAAAAGGCTTATTTATTTTAGGCAACACTAGATGGCCACGTTTTCTCAAAAGGATGAGTTGCGGTTGGTTGGTTGGTTAAAGAGACAGTAAATGGGCGTGTCTTTGTACTTCCGATAAACTGATTATTACACTAATCAACGTGCAGTAAATAGTTATAAAATAATTTTATTTACAGCTAATTCACAATTTTTTAACGTTTGTGTTCTTAATTTACATCCAACTCATGAAACAGGCTTATTATTATTTACAGGATAGGCGATAGTAGTATTATTACGGAGATTGACAGGCCCGATTCCTCGCCTTCTTGGTATAGCGCATGGAATGTAGCCACTATCTCGTCGCTATCGCGCCTTCTGCAACTCGCTTTGGTAGTTCTTGCGTAATTCAATTTCAAATACCATAAAAAGTTAATCTAATTGTTTATTCTACAATATTTAACTGAAAGGTTTGTATATTTATCGTTTCGTATATATATTGGCATGCTCTATCGCAGCTGAAAACGATAAGTCCGATTAGTGAATGAAGAATGAATTGTAGGTTCTATGAATGAACGTATCTACAGTACATGCGCCATTGTTGCACACGTTGCGACATCTGCTTGTAAGTTGTAAGTTGTAGAATTCGTGGCGGACCAACATTGTGTGAAGTATAGAATATTTCAGCTTTCTTTAGATACTAATTTTATATATCTCTTAGCGTTAATTTACTATTTAGTAAGATCTGTCGTTATTCAGTTTGTCATGTAGTCTTTAATGAATTGAATGTAATCGATCTCAACATCATGTCCTATTCATGAACATGGCTAGCTCTAGATACAATAATGTAACCCAAACCCAAGAGGATAGGGTTCCTATCCTCTTGGGTTTGGGTTACATTATTGTATCTAGA